GCCTGCTTAGCCAACTGGAGCCTCTACACACTGTGTAACACTAGGAGGAGGTAGAGCCTACAAATCTGAGTGTGGAACTGCAGGGGAAATCAGAGGAAACATCTCCTGTTTGATGGCACATGAACTCTTTCTTGGGTTGCTAGTTTTATAAATTCATTCCTACTATGAGAGCACATGGTGTGACTTTATAATAAGAACAAAATTCTGTCACTTTGAATAATGACCTTGCATTTTTTCCACCTTGACTCAGTAGTAAGACAGAGCTCAGAGCCAGGTAAAGGGATTTCAGAAAATACAGTTATAGCCATGTGACAGCCTGTGGAGGTATCTATTTGGGCAGAATTTGGGAGGTTTTAGTTAATCTGGGCAACGCTGCAATTGAAGAAGTTAATCAAGTGTGTGTGTGTGGCTTCAATTTAGGAGAGATCTCTCAAATCTTTCCTCAGGTTACAGACTCAATCTTTACATTGTTTCTCTCCAAACTGGGAGGCAAGAAGGATATCTTTCAAATGATTCAAAGTTATATTTTAAACTCAAAGACTCAAAGTTATATTTTAAAGTTATGTTTGTCAGTTGCATTTCTTTCTTCCTCCACCACTGTGGGGAAACCAGTGTAGTAGTAGGGCAAAGACATGAGCATTTTTGGATTCTGCTGGCTCTCTTTCTTTGTGATTGCTTGACACCTTTCAAATATCATGACCTCTTCCATTCTTTGGTTGCTTATTTTTTCAAAATGTAATTTTAGGTTTTGCTTGTCATTTCATATTTGGAGTGCAAAAATCGTATCATTTGACTCTACTGTCACCTTGCCCTGAACATCTCTGTAACCATACCCTGATCATAGGGGCCTCAAACCAGCTCCCCAGGCTCCTGGACAGTGTGGTGACAGCTTGAGTATGAGGACCTTTGCCACACATGGACTGTGAGTGTGGACTCCTGGGCCAGAAGGGAAAAGTTTCATATGTCTGTGTGTCTGCCTGGGTCATACGTGTGGAGCCCACAGACAGTCTGAGCCATGACAGGGCTTTATTTCAGACTTTGATAAATGTTTACAAAGTCAAAATGGCATCTTTTTAAAGCTTGTTCCTAAGAAACATAGATGATATGGAGGCAAACATGCAAAAAAAATCATGTTTGATGCAATATTTGATAATACTAAAACCCTTTATTGTGAACAAAATTAACAAGGTCTGGGCTAGGTTGAAAGAAGGCCAATGCTAATGTTTTTAGTTTCCTATTAAAATTATTACCCTTTACCAGCTTAACTCTTTTGGTATCTATAATACACCACGTTTTACGCAAATAACACATGCCTTCTGCATTTGTTTGCTGGCTGCACCCGTCCCTACCCCTAGATGTATTTTCATAAGGGCGCTATGCCAATTTTTTTACAGCAACACGTGGAAGTGGACTGGCAGGGCTTCGCTTGTGAGGGTGCCTCCCAGGGGGAGAGTGTGGCTGGCAAACAAACACAGAGGGCACACATTATTTGTGTAAAAATACAGTATACACTATTACAGTTTACATCAGGAAGTTCAGCACTCTTCTAAACGTAAAAATTACTTCTATTTTCTAACAGTCGTGTTTCTCAAAGTGTGGCTTGGGGGCTCTCAGATATTTTCAGATTCTTTGTCATCTAACCCTCACGGTTTTAGTAAATTAATGTTCCTGGACTCTCCTTTGTTCATAAATCTTATATCCATTTCTATCATTCACTTCCTTTAATGGGCCCTTCCAGATAAGCTATTATCTCAACTCCCACTAAGGTTCTGACCTTGGATCTTTGGTATGTTCTAATTAGTTCATTTCTCCAGATTTATATTTGTCTCCAAACAGTTAAATGAGTATAAGTAACACAGTGTATTGAGAGGATTAAGTTAATATTTGTAAAGATCTTAGAACAACGACTAGTCCATAGTTAGCATGCAATAAATTCTGTAATTATCATTTTTAATATCATTTTTATTAATACTCAGATTGAGAGCATAATCTTTTGGGACCATCCAGTTCTCTTTTTTAAAATCTAGATATTTCAAAATAATCTTTTCATTGGCTAATTGGGTTTACTAACTAGAGAGAATGCTCAGGCAGGGCTAAAACCATTATCCTGCCAGAGAAGATTAGTGTTCTAAATTGACATTCTGATTGTTAGTCTCTTATGATTTGGTTGTATCCAGAGCTTTGTGTTTCCAGAGCTGATCACATCTGGATAATATGAATGAAGAATCAAATGGCTAGTGTGCAAAGCTGAAGGCCATCCTAGCTATCATTCTCCCCTTTGCCACACCTCTAGTCCCCATTTTGCTCCACTGAATTTTGCTAAGTTACACTTTGTCATTTTGTCAGCTAAAAGGTTATTTCCTTTCTTTCACTTTCATGACGTTCAGACTTAGTTGTTTTCTTTTTCTCCACAAATAACTATCAAATTTTGCTTTATAGGAAAGTTGAAATAAAAAAAAAAAATCTGATGTCTTGAAAATTATAGGGAAAAATGGTACAGCTGTTGCCTTTCCTTTACTATCTTTATTTGTATTAACCTTAGGATGAAATAGAAAAATGCAGAAGCAGCAAGACAAATCTCTCTACTCTTACCTAGTAAACCACTATGTTTACTTAAGAAGTTACAAAAATTTAAAATAAAAAGTCACAAATGAGTAAAAGCAAGCAAGCTATTTCTACTTGACATAATAGCCTGGGCCTCACTGCCCTGCCCTCTCAGAGTGAGACAGACACAGAGGAACAAACAAGCTAAAAGAAATCACGATGACAGAATGAACGACTGAAGACCACTAGATTCTGTGATAAAAGCTTCTCCTGCGAGACATATCATCACTGAATCCCCTGTGCCCAGATTAGAAACTGTGAGCATAACAAATGTTCAATGGTTCAAGTGTGTTGTTTGTTGTTAGGTGCCCTTGAGTTGGTTCCGACTCATAGCCACCCTATGTACAACAGAACAAAACACTGCCCGGTCTTGTGCCATCCTCACAATCGCTGCTATGTTTGAGCCCACTGTTGCAGTCCACTGTGTCAATCTATCTCATTAAGGGGCTTCCTCTTTTTTGCTGACTCTCTATTTTACCAAGCATGATGTCCTTCTCCAAGGATTGGTCCCTCTTGATAACATGTCCAAAGTATGTGAGACAAAGTCTTGCCATCCTTGCTTCTAATGAGCATTCGGGCCGTACTTCTTCCAGGACAGATCTGTTCATTCTTCTGGCAGTCCATGGTATATTAAATATTCTTCACCAACACCATAATTCAAAGGGATCAATTCTTCTTTGGTCTTCCTTATTCATTGTCCAGCTTTCCCATGCATATGATGTGACTGAAAATACCGTGGCTTGAGTCAGGCGCACCTTAGTCCTCAAAGTGAGATCTTTGCTTACGAACACTTTAAAGAGATCTCTTGCAGCAGATTTGCCCAGTGCAATGCGTCATCTGATTTCTTGGCTGCTGCTTCCATGGACACTGATTGTGGATCCAAGCAAAATGAATTCCTTTACAACTTCAATCTTTTCTGTTTATCATGATGTTTCTTATTGGTCCAGTTGTGAGGATTTTTGTTTTCTTTATGTTGAGGTGTAATCCATGCTGAAGGCTGTAGTCTTTGATCTTTGTCAGTAAGTACTTCTAAGTCCTTTTTAGTTTCAGCAAGCAAGGTTGTGTCATCTGCATAACACAGGCTGTTAACGAGCCTTCCTCCAATTCTGATGCTGCATTCTTCTTCATATAGTTCAGCTTCTCAGATTATGGTTCAAGTATAAGAGTTGAATAATAAAAGCTGTACTTGGCAAAATAAAAATTATTTGACTCCTAAAGGTAAAATGATTACAACTGCATAATTCCTCTACCTACAATTTGCTATCAGCATCTGTAAGTTGTGGACATATTTGATACCTGGGAACATGGGTCAGGAGAGGAGGAGGTCACCACTGAGATAGCATACTTCACACCAACACTCTAGTAGAAAGAGTGTCCTGGAGGATTATTGTGGCAACAAAGATACTCCTCCCCAGCAAAAGAGTTCTAAAGTCACCTGGATGTGATGAGTGGCCCTCAGAGACCGAGTCCAGGAGAGTTTGAGTTGAGGACACTGTCACTCTAGAGGAGAGGGTATTTCTTACCAGATATAACAACTGCTCATGAGTGAGGTGGTGCTGGAAAAAGGCTGAAAATAAAATTGTTGTGGAATTAGAATCTCCACACCTGTAACCACGTGAAAAGAACTAGGATCCCTGCTATGATTACTGGCACAGCCTAAGAGCTCTAGACATCCAGTAAGAAAAACGGTGGAAAGGAAGAGCAATGTCTATTATAATCCTAACCTTGTGGCCCTGGTGAGGCAAAACCACATTGATCTATATGAACGTGTTCCAGAAGGAAAAGAACACTTGGAGACTCTCATTCACTAATAACCATTACCCTCTGCTGTGAATAAAACACAGATTAAAACCTAGTTCTTGGTTCTAAAAGAGTTTGTCACAGGTGGTCTGATAAATCCTTAATTGAATATAAAAATCAATAGGGCTAAAGGAACCTGACTTTATGCATAAATTCAGGGTAAAAATAGAGCCCAGAATTAGAGCTAAAAGTTTGTTCCTAACACAGTGGAGAGTAATACTTATTTACATAAAAAAGTATTGGTGCGTGTGAGTGGATTACATACTTATATACACTTCTAACTTTAGGATAAAGGTGTTTCTCATTTCATTGATAAATACCCATTTGGATTATGACATCTGAAGCTTACTAGGAAAATCAAACTTCTATTGCAAAAATTAAGTGTTTAGATTGATGACATCTTCTCAGGCCATATGGAGAATATGTAAATGAAACAAAAAAATGGAAGTAAAACTTTACAGGAATGTTCGAAAATGAAAACTATTGTGTTCCCTATTTAAAAGCCAAGATAGAAAGCATTTCCTCAGAGAACCTAGGGTCCAAGGTTCAACCAGACATCCAGCTCAGTCAAGCCAGCAGCATCCTCAATTCTCCCAATGACCCTCCTGCTCTCTCTACTGACAGCCCTGGTGGTGTTCAGCTATGGCCCTGCTCCATCTCTGAGCTGTGATCTGCCTCAGAACCACATCCTGGCTAGTAAGGAGACCTCTGAGCTTCTGGAACAAATGAGGAGACTCTCCCCTTTCCTCTGTCTGAAGGACAGAAAGGACTTCAGATTTCCCCAGGAGATGGTAGATGGCAACCAGTTGCAGAAGGCCCAGGCCATCTCTGTCCTCCACACGATGCTCCAGCAGATCATTAACCTCTTCCATACAAACAACTCCTCTACTGCTTGGAATATGACCCTCCTGCACCAACTCCACAGTGGACTCGAACGACAGCTGGAAAACCTGGACACCTGCTTGGTGCAGGCAATGGAAGAGGAAGAATCCATCCCGGCAACTGAGGGCCCTGTACTGGCTGTGAAGAGGTACTTCCAGGGAATCCATCTCTATCTGAAAGAGAAGGAATACAGTGACTGTGCCTGGGAAATTGTCAGAGTGGAAATCAGGAGATGCTTCTCTTCAACAAAATTGCAAGAGAGATTAAGAAGAAAGCATGGAGACGTGGGTTCATCTTGACTTGACTCTCAATGGCTGATACGCTGTATCACACTTGCATACACGTCTCTTGTCCTTTCAAAACACTCTTATTCCTACTTTAGTCACAGAATTTAATGAATTGTATTCAGCAATTACTTTGTAAGTAGTATTAAGTAAGTATATGTTAAAAATAGTCAGCTGGAGGGACTTCAGTCCCTAAGAGATGAATTCCATGATTTTTTAAAATTATTTATTCATTCTGGCTTATATTTATAATATTTATATTTCTCACATAATAAAACATTCACATTTACATTGTATGAAGATTTACAATGCATGTTCACCTTTCCATTTTATTAAATTTGTTTTATTTATTAAAAGCTTATCAAAGAAAACTTCTTGAATTTTTTTTAAAAACAAAACCAAGCTTTGTTAACCAAATTGAAGGATGGATGGTAAAATTTATTTACTCATTCGTTCCATTCACGTCATATGTATAAATTGAGTATCTAAGTGGCAGACTGTAAAATTGCTGTTGAGAAAATTCAGAAGAAAACACTCTTTGATGGTTACAGGGGTGGGGAGGGAGGGTGAGGGTTATTTACTAACTAGATACTAGGTAAGAATCATCTTAGGTGAAGGGAAGGATAGCACACTCTACAAGGGAAGTCAGCACAACTGGACTAAACCAAAGCTAAGAAGTTTCTTGAATACAGTCAAATACTTTGAGAGACAGAGTAGCAGGGGTAAGGGTCTGAGGACCATGCTTTCAGGGGACATCTAGGTCAACTGGCATAACAAAGCTTATTAAGAAAATGTTCTGCATCGTACTTTGGTGAGTGGCATCTGGGGTCTTAAAAGCTTGCAAGTGGCCATCTAAGATGCATCAGTTGGTCCCAACCACCTGGAGTAAAGGAGAATGAAGAACACCAAAGACACAAGGAAAGTATTAGCCCAAGAC